CCCTACGTGCCACCTTCCCACATCCCCCCCAAACAAGCCACTTGAGCAGGGGCAGGCAATTATTTCAGGCGGAGGGCCGCTTACCCAGTTTTAGCAAGCTGTTGAGGGCCGCATGGGTTGCCCCACCCCTTGACAGTTGCCCTGCCCCCTGGTCACCAGCTTGGGACCAGTGTCCCAGTGTCTTGGGACCAATGTCTCAGGGCCAGCACCGGTGGGGCCCAGAGCAGGATGCAGGCTGGCAGGGGGCTGTAGAGCTGGGTTGGGCTGCACCAGCAGGGAGGGGGGAGCTGGCCCGGTTCCACAGAGCCCCTGCCAGCCAGGACCCTGTACTCCTACCACCCTGCTCTGGGCCCCATGCACCCGCTCACTCCCAGTGCCCCCCACCAGCCCTGTAGTACAGGCTGGGGGCAGCATGCTGCCCCGACCCCCTGCTCCAGAGCAGGGAAGGAGCTGGTGCTGTGCGGGGAAAAGCAGCCCCTCCCCCGCCCTGTGGGCAGCGCTCCCTGCTGCAGCCACTCAACCTGCACAGGGCTGTCCTGAGCAGGCACAGGCAGCCCCACGCGGACTACGGGGATTTCTCCCACAGGGCAGATGCGGGGCTGCTTTTCCCGTGCTCAGCACCAGCTTGTAACCCACCCCGACTACCAGCTTGGGCCCTGTGCTGGCTCCAGGTTCGCCTGTTGGTGCTGCACTGTGGCAGCAGCAGCTGTGGGCCCCCTGCTTGCCACGCCAGGCAGTGTTTGTCACTGCCACCTCTGGGCTGCCCAGTGCGTGAGCTTCCCCTGGTTCCTACTGCCCCCGGTTCCTGTCAAAAATGACAGGGACCAAAGACAGATAAACATTAACTTTCTAAAATTTTTAGGGGCCCCATAGGGCAGATGGAATGGCCTCGCAGGCTCGATCCGGCCCATGGGCCATATTTTGCCTACCCCTGCACTTGAGACTCTGTCCTGTGCCCCACCGCAGCTGGGTAGTGCCTCTTGGTGCCCCTTTGTTTCACCACCTGGGCGGTCTCCCCACTTGTCCCACTCCTTGCTACAGCACTGGTTCTTAGTAGCTGTTTTTTTCACCTATGTTACTGGAAATCTCTAATTTGACATCATTTAAACTAGTTTTGAAGAGCAAACTATTTTTAAGAGGTACCTATATAAAATACTGTGAGCAGACTGGCAAAGTTGTAGACAATGTTGGGTATGAATATGAAGATAATGGTATAATGTTTGTATACAATTTGAATAAAAGAGTATGGATATACTTTTAAATCATTTTTTCTTTTTCTCTTTTTTATAGGAATTCATTTTATCAGAAGATTACAACAAGATGAGCCCAGTAAAAAGTTACCAAGGTAAGAAATGTAATTTTGTATGCATTAGTAGAAAGCTTTAGATTTATTGTCATATTTGTTTATAATATTATCAGTCTCTTACACCTTTTAAAGGGAGACACTGTCCTTTTCTGTCCTAATTGATTTTACTTAATGAAAATCCTTGGTTTTGGTATTGAGTCAATAATATAGTATAGACTGAGAGTTTATAAGGTTTTTTTTTTTAAACAAACTGACTTGTGTGTCAGAAATGTCAAAAAAGAAAAATGGGGTTTTCTGAGCTACTGGGCTGTTTATGATATCCAATGGAGCTAAGGGAGCAGTGTTTCTTCTGCACTATAGAAAATTCTAAAATGATTCTGTTGCATCTCAGAGTAAGGATCTTATTCCACAATCAAGAAATACAAGTCCGTACCTTTCTGTAACTGCTTCAGTTGTCAACTAGTGTACTATTTTAAAAGATCTAGGTGTCCTTGCAACTGTTTGTTTGACCACAAAGGTATATTACAACAATACATGACATAGTCATAATTTGATAGTGCACTTATGCTGTATTCTTTATTCTGGTCTCTGTTCTTCTGACCTACAGATAATGCCATATTACAGGAGACATACTGTGTTTCTGATTAGAGTTCAAAAGATGAATGAGTATTATTTCCATGTTCTGTGCTTTGAAAAGTTCAAAAGAAAATAATTTACCCTTCAAGAATTTCTTTGAGCCTTCAAGAGTATCTAATAAACTGACCCTAAAGCACTCTCTCAATCGTTTAAGAATGTAGATTAAATACTTTTTGCTTTTTAGAAGTCTTTTTAGATCTTTGACTAACTTTGTCAGATAAGATTATTTTTTTGCTTTAAACAACCCCAGGTTTTAAAATAACAAGTCTTCTGCCAAAATAGAATCAAAAGATAAAATATATTTGCATATCTGAAATTAGATCACAGATCAGTTCGATTTAGAAATCTGTAGCTTGTGATTTTATTTTTCTGCCATGGTTGTGACCCATTTGAACAAGCTACACTAATATACTGTAGTTGCCTGCTTTGCCTGCAATGGAGCATTTTGGAAAAGCAAACTTACATGCACTCCTCAGTAGCTCTAGGACCAAAGCCTGGAAGAGGTTCATTGGAGTGGAGAGATGAAGATTGAGCTGAAGTTTTCCTTGTCCTTCTACTTAACATCTCACAAGAGTAATGACTTATGCAGCAATGTAATCGGATTTCCATCTGTTGCTGAGTTGGTGCTCCATTTCCTATAGTTCTGCAGTATGATACAATAAAACTAGCATGAACAGTATGCTCTCACTTCCTTCCCGCCACTTGCAGTGGTCAACCATTTTCTCTAACTCACTGAAATGACAGATGAAGATAAGCATCTCTGAGCCATTTAGTTCCTGAATTCTTCAAGTGCAGGAAGTCTTAGTTTAAAAAAAGGGGGAAAAAAAAAGACCTCAGTGGATTGTGGATAGTATCACTTCCACTTTCATGGTTACAAGATGGAGGTTTGGAGATCCCAAAACGGAGAATGACTGGCTAGGCCTTAGTATTGCAGAAAAAGGTCTGAGGGTTATGATAGTGTGTGAGTGAGTCACAAATATAGTAGCACTGAGGCAGTGGAGGAAAGGGCAGTGATACAGTGGGATATATTAACAGGAGCATCATGCAAGTCGCAGACTGTAAGTCTTCCACTGTGTTCAGCACTGAGGTCTCATTTGGAGTACTGGGTTAAGTGTTGGGTACCACACTTTAAGGAAGTTGTGGGTAGCTAGAAGGATTCCAGTGGGGAGCAGCATTTAAGATGGTGGTCAGGAAGATATGGCACGTATGGAAAGATTAAAGGAGTGGGGATGACTTGCTTTAGAGAAGAGAAAATTGAGAAGATATATACTGTGTTTAGTCAAGTAGAAGATGGTCCTGATTATAAGATGACCCCCCAATAATTATATTGGAGGAAAAATTATAATTTTTTTATCCTTTTCCAGGTATAGGATCTAATTATTAGAGTTTTGCCATGATTTTTTGTCTCCCTCCAACTCCTACAGTAGGAAAATTTTAAATCTGGGGGGTCAGGTAGCCCCTCTTGCTCTCTGCTTCCCTCTAACATTTTCCCCAGGCAGCCTCTTCCCCCTCTCCTTACAGTCTAACCCCATTTTGCCTAGGTACGTAGAAGCGAGGAGCAAATTTGAAAACAATAACCTTGAAATTAAAAATGGCTGTAGCAAAGTACACATTGCACCCATGCAGTTGTCTTATCTAGAATTGATGTATGCTACCTTTTTTATGATACTGTATCAAGTTCATAGATTTCATAGACATTAGGGCTGGAAGGGACCTCGGAAGATCATTGAATCCAGCCCCCCGCCCGAGGGGCAGGAAGTCAGCTGGGGTCATAGGATCCCAGCAAGATAAGCATCCAGATTTCTCTTGAAGGTGTTCAGTGTAGGTGCTTGAACCACCTCCAGTGGCAGGCTATTCCAGACCTTGGGGGCTTGGACAGTGAAGAAATTCTTCCTTATGTCCAGCCTGAAACGGTCTTACAAGAGTTTATGACCATTCAGCCTCGTCATCCCTTGGAGCCCTCTAGTGAACAACTGTTCCCTCAGATCCTGGTGAACCCCCAGATCCTGGTGAACACCCCTGATAAACTTATAGGTGGCCATCAGATCGCCCCTGAGCCTGCGCTTTTCCAAGCTAAAGAGCCCCATAGCTCTCAGCCCGTCATCGTAAGGTCTGTTTTCCTGACCTCTGATCATGCACATGGCTGTCCTCTGGACTTTCTCAAGCTTCTCCACATCCTTTTTGAATTGTGGAGCCCAAAACTGGATGCAGTACTCCGGCTGCAGCCTCACCAAGGCCAAGTAAAATGACGTCCTGGGATTTGCTTGAGAAGCATCTATGAATGCAAGCTGGCATTTTGCTCGCTTTACTAGCCGCAGCATCACACTGAAGGCTCGTGTTCATCTTGTGGTCAATCATGATCCCCAAGTCCCGTTCTTCTGTAGTGCTAACCAGCGTAGCACTGCGGAGCCTATAAGGATGCTGCAGGTTTTTCCTCCCAAGGTGGAGAACCTTGCATTTTTTCAAAGTTAAATGCCATCAGGTTCTCGTCTGCCCACTTCCTGAGCCTGTCAAGGTCAGCCTGGATCACCTTCCTGTCCTCAGGTGTGGGTGCTTTACCCCAGAGTTGGGTATCACCAGCGAACTTTGCCAGTCCACTTCTGACTCCAAAGTCCACATCATTAATGAAGGTGTTGAACAATATAGGTCCAAGGACAGAGCCTTGGGGGACCCCACTGGTTACAGGGCACCACAATGTTTTACTTCTGTCAACCACCACCCTCTGGGTCTGACCATGGAGCCAGTTCCCCAGCCGCTGGATCGTGGTGGACCCGAGGCCACAGTTGGCCAGTTTTACCAAGAGGTGATCATGCGATACCAGATCAAAGGCTTTTTTGAAGTCAAGGTATATGACATCAATCTCTTCTCCCTTGTTCCTTTTGTGGTAACCTGGTCATAAAAGGAAATGAGATTGGTCAAGCAAGACCTACCCACAACAAAACCGTGCTGGCTATCCCTCAGGAAGTTGCCATCAGCCAGTCTGTTAAGAATGGCCTCTTTTTAATAATCTCTTCTAAGACCTTGCCCAGGGTAGAGGTCAGGCTGATGGGTTTGTAATTAGCCAGATCCACTTTCCCCCTTTTCTTGAAGATAGGCACCACATTGGCCTTCTTCCAGTCTTCGGGCACTTCACCAGAGTGCCAGGAGTTTTCAAAAATCCGTGCCAGAGGCTGGGCTAAGATGCTCGCCAGCTCCTTGAGTACCCTGGGGTGTAGATTGTCAGGGCCAGCTGACTTGAAGGTGTCCAGCCTCTCAAGGTGTTCCTTCACGTGGTCAACATTGATGGAGGGCAGGGAATCTCCCTCACCCAGGGCTCCCTGTCCCGTAATGGGCAGAAGCATCCTGTGGGACTGATGAAAGACCGATGCAAAGTACCCATTTAATAGGTTGGCTTTTTCCTGGGTGTCAGTCATCAGTTGTCCCATCTGGTTTTTCAGAGGTCCAGTGTTGCCCTTGCTTTTCCTTTGGCTCCCCACATATCTAAAAAAAAGACTTTTTATTGTCCTTGATACTTGTAGCTAGTTGGAGTTCAGTCACAGCCTTGGTTTTCCTGTTTCACTCACTGCAGGACTGGACCAACGTGGAATATTCCCCCTTGGAGGTGGATCCCATCCTCCGTCCTTTTGTGGGCCTTTCTTTTTACCTGCAGGAGGTCCGCTAGTTCCCTGGAGAGCCAAGGGGGCTGCTGTGCCCTTTTGCTGCCTTTCCTCCGAGATGGAATAACATTAACTTGTGCCCTGAGGATTGCTCCCTTGAGGAGCGGCCACTCTTCCTGAACTCCCCTCCCTTTGGGGTCGTGGTCCCTTAGGGCCTCACTGACAAGCCTCCTGATCTTGTCAAAATCAGCTTTCCTAAAGTCAAGGACTTCTGTATTGCTGACTGACTTGCCAGCTTTACGGTGGATGGTGAAGGTGATCAACTCATGGTTGCCATCACCCAGCTTCCTATCGATCCTTAGGTTGCTGATTAGGTCATCCCCAGTTGAGCAGCATGTTACCTCTCGTTGGCCCATAGACCTCTTGTGTTTTCATACAGGTACTGCATAAATCAGGAACAGGCAAAATACAGCCTGTGGGCCAGATCTGGCCCACCAGGCCATTCTATCCAGCATGCAGAGCCCCTACATAATTTAGAAAATGTATATTTATCTGCTCCTAGCTGCCTGTCAAGGATGACCAGAGCCAGGGGCAGTAGGACTCTGGGGGAGCCAGCAGGACTCAGTAGCAAAATCAGCCCCACCCCTCCCCCCAACTAGAAGCCTCTGCCTGCTGCAGCTTTCACTGTTTTCCTGCATGCTGCTGGCTGCTCCAGCACCACATGGCCCCCAGCTGCATCGCCAGACTGTGAGAGTATGTACCATGGAGCCAGGAGCTGGGGGGGGAGAGCGTGCATGCATACACAAT